GGACTTACATAGGATATCTGCTTGGCATGGACAAGTTGGACTGAAAGGCCTGTTTCTGTGTTGTATATCTCTATGACTCTAAATGTTATAATTGTACCAGCCTCCGCCACTTCCTCTAGCAGTTCATTACATACACGCACCACCCTCTGCATGAAAAAGTTGCCCCTTAGTTTCCTTTTAAATCTTACCCCTCTTAGTTTAAACCTATGCCCTCTATTTTTGGACTTCCTCCCCTCGGAAAATGATCTTGGCTGTTTACCCTATCCAGGCCCTTCATGATTTTATAAACCTCAATAAGGCCACCTCTCAGCCTCCAATGCTCCAGGGAAAATAATCCTAGCCTATTCAGTGTCTCCCTAGAGTTCAAACACTCCAATCCTGGTAACATCTTTGTAAATCTGTTCTGCACCATTTCAAGTTTAAAAACATCCTTCCTATAGCAGGAAGACCAGAACTGAATGCAGCATTCTAAAAATGGCCTAACCAATGTCCTGTATAGCTGCAACATGTCATCCCAACTCCTAGACTCAAATCACTCAAATACTAATATAGGCAAGCGTACCAAATGCCCTTTTCATTACCCTGTCTACCTGTGATTCCATCTTCAAGGAACAATAAACCTGCGCCCCAAGCTCTCTTTGCTTGGCAACACTCCCCAGGGCCCTATCATTAAGTGTATAAGTCCTGCCTTGATTTGCCTTACTGGAATGCAACTCCCCAGCTCATCGGCCCATCTGATAATGGTCCTGTTGTGGTGTCATCTGCAAACTTACTAACTATTCCTCCTATATTCACATTTAAATCATTTGTATAAATGACAAAAAGCAGTGGACCCAGCACTGATCCTTACGGCAAACCACTGGTCACAGGCCTCCAGTCCAAAAAACAATCCTCCACCACCACCTTCTGTTTCCTATTTTCAAGCCAAATTTGTATTCAAATGGATAGCTCTCCCTGGATTCCATGTGATCTAACCTTGCTAACCAGTCTAACCATGCAAAACCTTGTTGAACACCTTGCTGAAGTCCACACTATGTTCTCAATTTAAACTAGTCTCACCTGTCTGTGTTTGGCCCATATCCCTCCAAACCTTTCCTATTCATGTACTTATCCAAATGTCTTTTAAATGTTACAACTGTACCTGCATCCACCACTTCCTCTGGCAGTTCATTTCCACACTCTGAGTAAAAAAGTTGCCCCTCATGTTCTTTTTAAAACTTTCTCCACTCACCTTAAAAATATGCCCCCTAGTTTTGAACTCACCCACCCTGGGGAAAACACCCTTGCTATTCACCTTTTCTATGCCTCTCATGATTTTATAAACCTTTATTAGCTCACCCTTTAATTTCTTATGCTCCAGTGAAAAAAGGTCCCCGTCTATCCAGCTAATTTGCATGACTCAAACTCTCCATTCCCAGCAACATCCTGGTAAGTCATTTCTGAATTCTCTCCAATTTAATAATATCGTTCCTAATGCAGGGCGATGACAGCTGCACACAGTCCTCCGGTAGAGGCCTCACCAATGTCCTGTACAACCTCAACATGATGTCCCAACTCCTATACTCAAAGGTCTGAGCAATGAAGGCAAGTCTAGTAGTATCTGTGTATTGCAAAGCAGACTTAATGTTTCAAGCCCAATAACTTCAGATGTGTTTGTGGTATGTCGTGTGTGAAAGCAAAGAAGTATTTAAAGAGTTATAACAGTCTTTATGGATCTGCCAAATCATGTCGGAATCCTGGTACTGGAATGTCCGAAATGATTTTCTATATTACAACAGTGGCTACACTTCAGAAATAGTTCAGTGCTTGTAAAGTTCTTTGAGCTATTGCGAAAGGCATATATAAGAGGAAAAATATTTTTTATCTTCATTTCAATTGCGCTAATGTTTGAAATGTTTTATGTTTACATCTAAGGGGTAGATATCCCCAAACATTAAAAATGACCTAAATATACTTTTTCTTAAAGAGAAAAGCTGACTATCAAAAAGATGCTGTTTCAGAGAGGACAAGAAAATTCTTCAGTTCCTTATCAATGTTCTAGAAAATAGCCCATAAGAAACGTGTCTATTTCAAGCTTTTTTAAAAAATGACTTCGTTCTTCCCTAGTTTGCTGTCATCAAATGAACATGAATTTAAAATTATTTAATATACTCAAACCTTCAACCCTTTCGTGTTGGCAGACAAACTTCTCATAATGTTGTTGCTGCATTTCATTTAATTTTCCATCATAAATTCTACATGATATGTTCACTTAAGCAATGATTTTCATGTCTTTTGCATATTAATTGATGAGGTGCAAAAGTTGAGCACAAAGGAAGGACACTACTCCACCTAAACCTGTTTCCAGAAAACTACAATACCTGTCACACCACAATACCTTTTAAACGTATTGGCCTCTCACCTTTATGAAAGTGGCACTATGGCTTGTGCTTATATAAATATTTGTAAATAATCAACAAAATGCCCTGAAATATAAGCTACACCTAGTACGTGCTGGGATTAAAATTCACTTTCAGCAGGATATAATCTCAGAATTAGCAGAACAGGCGCTCAGCATACACCCAACCCAGTTTCTCCAGCTTCCGCAAAATTTTCTCACTTACCTTTTATTGAACTACCGTCTCTTAAATCATTTGGGGAATGTGTATGACCAACACTCCGCTTACTTCACCCTCAAGGTTGCATCAGGATCCCATAATTTGGGCCAGTGCTAAGACTGTCCAGTGAAGGCTCCAATAAATAGGTGGAGTGGAACAGAGTTGTGCCAGCTCACTATTCTAATGCTGCTGCTGCCCAACTATTTGCTTGGCAAGCTGAATTAAAGTTAGCCCTATGGACTCTAATAGAATTTGGTAAGCTTGTACTGATAGTCTGGGATGTTTTTTTGGAACACCTCATGTCCTTAAATAAATGTTATAGTCATAAACAAGCAGATTGGTGATGATGCATGGTTCAATCTGAAGGACCAGGCTGTCTTGTAATGTGAGCTGTGTCTACACACATCGCATTGAACAACAAACAAGCAGTATGTAACTAGGAGATGGGCTTTGAGTGCTTACAGTGGGCTTTGCTGAGGCATTATTCAGCAGATTTGCAACAGTGAAACCAGTAGTGGGCCAGGAATCAGTCCACAGCTGACAACAGGTTCTTGGAACTACACAAGGCAAGACAGTGAGATAACAAGGTGTAGAGCTAGATGAACACAGCAGGCCAAGCAGCATCAGAGGAGCAGAAAAGCTGACGTTTCGGGCCTAGATCCTTCTTCAGAAATGGGGGAGGGGAAGGGGGTTCTGAAATAAATAGGGAGAGAGGGGGAGGCGGATAGAAGATGAATAAAGGAGAAGATAGGTGGAGGGGAGACAGACAGGTCAGAGAGGCGGGGATGGAGCCAGTAAAGGTGAGTGTAGGTGGGGAGATAGGGAGGACAGACAGGTCAAGGGGGCGGGATGAGGTTAGTAGGTAGGAGATGGGGGTGGGGCTTGAGGTGGGAGGAGGGGATAGTGGGAAGAAGGACAGGTTAGGGAGACGGGGACAAGCTGGACTGGTTTTGGGATGCAGTTGGGGGAGGGGAGATTTTGAAGCTTGTGAAGTCCACATTGATACCATTGGGCTGCAGGGTTCCCAAGCAGAATATGAGGTGCTGTTCCTGCAACCTTCAGGTGGCATCGTTGTGGCACTGCAGGAGGCCCAGGATGGACATGTCGTCTGAGGAATGGGAGGGGGAGTTGAAATCGTTTGCGACAGTTGTTTAGTGCGAACCGAGCGTAGGTGTTCCGCAAAGCGGTCCCCAAGCCTCTGCTTGCTTTCCCCGATGTAGAGGAGCCCACAACGGGAACAGCAGATACAGTATACCACATTAGCAGATGTGCAGGTGAACATCTGCTTGATGTGGAAAGTCTTCTTGGGGCCTGGGATGGGGGTGAGGGGGGAGGTGTAGGGGCAGGTGTAGCACTTCCTGCGGTTGCAGGGAAAAGTGCCAGGTGTGGTGGGGCTGGAGGGGAGTGTGGAGCAGACAAGGG